AAACTAAAAAATTTTAAAACCCCACAACCCAGCAAATACAAACAGAAACACACACAAAACTCCCACTCAATCAGCAGTCTACCATGACACCTTAAACAATCAGGAAAAAAGACCAAACAAGCACAGAGAAGGAAATGATAGATTATGTTATAAGGGAGCACAGGCAGTACAGTCTGCAGAGACCGGAGCTGTCAGCCCAAGGCCACAGCACTGTGCTGGCTGAAATCCACGCCTCCAGGAAGACACGCACCCTCTTCCCGAGATTTACAGCTTTAGAAACCCAAATGAGAGTCGGCGACGAGTCAACTCTGACTCAACGACAATGAGTTTTGAGTTTGTGGAAACATGAAATTTAAATTAGTTTTATATTATAAAATTTATATTAGTTTTATATTCTTTTTCTCAACAGATAAAAATAATGAAAACGGAAAAAACGGAATAATAAAAAAGGCTATTTTCTAAAATAAAAAAGCAAACAAAGGACATCACTACCAACTTTCTAGAAATTAAAATAAATGGACAGAAAATACTATAAATAAATGTACACCAACAAACTGTCCTGAAACTCAAATGATAGGGACAAATTCTTAGAAAGTGAGAGAACTCATTAAAAATAAAAAAGACTAGAAGAAATCAGTTCACCACTAAAGAAAGGGAACCAACCACCAGAGCTCAGCAGCCAAAACTCTAATAGGAATAAGGACCACAGGGACGTAATAAGGCAAGTGCAATTACATTGAGGGTGTGCCGATTAATGTTGAGCAATGAAACTGCTATCTCTTATAAATAGGGAGCTCTGGTGGTTGATTGGTAAGGAGTTGCACTGCAACCCAAAGACACATAGTTCAAATCCACCAGATATTCTACAGGAGAAAGGGGGGCAATCTCCTGCCATGTAATTCTCTGCCTCTGAAAATCCACTGGAGAGTTACCTATGGCTGAGTTCTGACTCCACGGTTCAAAACAACATCTCTTATAAATACAGATGTAAAAACCCCTCAATCATTCAGTTCTAGCACACTGAATGAAGGAATATGTACAAAGAATTATATTACAAAACCACCTGGATTTATACCAGCAATATGAGACTGGTTTAACATCCCAAAATCAATCAACACAATGTACCTTAATGAAATAAAAATGATACATTCACACAATGGAATACTATGTAGCAGTAAACAACAAGGAAGTATTAAGTATTTTTTTTTTATTTTATTTTATTATTTTTTGTGCATGTACCGTTAAATCAGATCTATGGACTACCAAGAGAACAAACAGGTTTTTCCTCAAGAGGGTGAAACCAGGATGCTCCTTGGAAGCAAGGATTTTAAAGCTCTATTTCTTATTTTGGGTATGTGGCCAGGAGGGACCAGTCCCTGGAGAAGGACATCATGCTTGGGAAGGGTGGAGGGACAGTGCAGGAG